AAAAATGCAGCCTTACCACGACTGAATCAGGAAGAAACAGAAAACCCAAAGAGACCAATTACTAGCAAGGAGATTGAATCAGTAATCAAAAATCCCACAAAGAAGGGATGCCTGGGTGGCTTAGTTGGTTAAGCATCTGCCTTTGGCTCAGGTCATGATGCCAGGGTCCAGGGATCGAGTCTTGCATCAGGCTCAGCGGGGAGCCTGCTTCTCCCTCTGCCTGCAGCTCCCCCTGCTTGTGCTCTCTCTCTCTCTCTCTGACAAATAAATGAATCTTTAAAAAAAAAAAAATCTCACAAAGAAAAGTCCAAGACCTGATAGCTTTGCTGGTGAATTTTACCAAACACTTAAAGAAGAATTAACACCAATCCTTCTCAAACTCTTCCAAAAAGTCAAAGAGGAGGGAGCACCCTCAAACTCATTTTACTAGGCCAGCAATACCCTGATAACAAAGCCAGAAAGGACACTACAAGAAAACTATAAGCCCCTATCTCTGGATGAAAATGGATGAAAAAATTCTCAATAAAATACTAGCAAACTAAATTCAGCTGCACATTAAAAGGATCAAGTGGGATATATCCTCGGGATGCCAGGATGGTTCAACATACACAAATCAATAAATAGATATTAATAGAATGAAAGAAAAAATATAATCATCTCAATAGACACAAAAAAAGGCATTTGACAAGATTCAATATCCAATCATGATAAAAATTCTTAACAAATTACGTATAGAAAGAACGTACTCAACATAATAATGGGCATATATGAAAAACCTACAACTAACACCATACTCAATGGTAGAAGGTTAAAAGCTTTTTCTCTAAGATTAAGAACAAGTCAGGTGTACCCACTCTTACCACTTATATTCAACATAGTACTGGAAGTCCTAGTCAGAGCAATCAGGCAAAAGAAATAAAAGGCATCCATATTGAAAAGGAAGAAGTAAAACTGGCTCTCGTCATAGATGACATGACTTTCTATATAGAAATCCCTAAAAACTTATCCAAAATAGTATTAGTTCCAATCAATGAATTCAGTGAGGTTGAAGGATACAAAATTAACATGCAGAATCAGTCCTGTTTCTATACTCTAACAACAAATTTTCTGAAAAAAAAATTAAAGATATTGATCCCATTTACAATAGCATCAAAAACGATACTAAGGAATAAATTTAACTAAGGGATATGAAACATTTTGACTCTGAAAACTACAAGACATTGAAGAAAAAAATCTAAGACACAGATAAATGTAAAAGTATCTCCTGTTCATGGACTGAAATAATTTTTATTGTTAAAATGTCCATACTACCAAAAGCCATCTATAGATTCAATGAAATTCCTATCAGGATTCCAAGGACATTTTTTACGGAAGCAGAAAAAAAAAAAATCCTAAAATATATATGGCACCACAAGACCCCAAGAGCTAAAGCAATCCTGAGAAAGAACAAAGTGGGAGGCATCATACATCCTGATTTCAAGCTGTATTAGAAAGTTATAGTAAAAATATAAGCTATAGTGATCAAAACAGTATGGTACTCACAAAAAAACAGATACATAGACCAATGGAACAGAGTCAAGAGCCCAGAAATAAACCCATGCACATATGGTCAACTGATATTTGACCAGGGAGACAAGAACACCCAGTAGGAAAGAGATGTTCTCTTCAGTAAATGGTGCCGGGAAAAGTGGATATCCACATGTAAAATAATAAAATTAGACCCCTATCTTACACTACTCAAAAAGAATTAAAGACTTAAATGTAAGGCAGGAAACACTGAAACTCCTAGAAGAAAATATAGGGAAAAAAGCTTCCTGACATGGGCTTTGGCGATTATTTTTTGGATATGGTGCCTAAAGCACAAGCCACAAAATTAAAAATATATGGAACTACATCAAACTAAAACACTTCTGAATAGCCTAAGAAACAATCAACAAAATGAAAAGACAACCTACAGAAAAAATATTTGCAAACTATATATCTGAAGAGAGGTTAATATCCAAAATACATAAATAATTCATATAACTCAAGAGCAAAAACATGATCCAATTAAAAAATGGGCAAAGAACCTGAAGGGACATTTTTTCCAAAGAAGATGCACAAATGGCCAACAGATGAAAAGATGCTCAACATCACTAACCAGTAGAGAAATACCAATCAAAACCACAATATCATCTCACACCTGTCAGAACGGCTATCACCAAAAAGGTAAGCAATAACGAACACCGGCAGGGATGTGGAGAAAAGGAACCATCGTGCACTGTTGGTGAGAATATAAATTGGTGCAGCTACTATGGAGAACAGTATGGAGGTTCCTCAAAAAATTAAAAACAGAACCACCATATATCCATCAATTCTCCTTCTGCAAATATATCCATAGAACATGAAAACATTATGTTGAAGAGATATCGGTACCCCCTTGTTCACAGCAGCATTACTTCCAATAGCCAAGACATGAAAGTAACCTAAGTGTCCATTGATAGATGAATGGACAGAGAAGATGTGATTAGAAAATAAAAAAAATAAAATAAAATTACACAGTGCTGTATGTTAGCTATATCTCAGTAAAACTGGGTAACAAAAACTACCTTTTTTTTTTTTTTCAAAGGATTTTATTTATCTGACAGAAAGAGAGACAGTGAGAGAGGGAACACAAGCAGGGGCAGAGGGAGAGGGAGAGGCAGGCTTCCCACCGAGCAGGGAGCCCGATGCGGGGCTCGATCCCAGGACCCTGGGATCATGACCTGAGCCGAAGGCAGATGCTTAATAACCGAGCCACCCAGGTGCCCCAAAACTACCTTTTGAACTGTGAATAAAATGTTAATCAGGGTACCAAATAACCGAAAAGTGTATGAGAACATGCAAAAAAACCCACTTTAGTGACAAAGAAAAGAAAAAAACACCCTGAGATTTTATGCTTGAATTCAAATATATATTACTTTCTGGACTGCACAGTACACCCATTTAATTTGAAAACAAATACCTAATATTTTCTGATTACAAAAGTACACATGATCACTACAGAAAATTTAAAGTACAGAATAAGTATTTCAAATTTAAAAAAATAGGTGAAGGGGATTAAGAGCACACTTATCCAGATGAACACTGAGTAATGCACAGAACTGCTGAATTACTACATTGTACACCCGAAACTAATACAACACTCTACGTTAACTACACTGGAATTAAGATCGAAAACTTAATAAAAAAATAATAAAAGAAGACATGAAAAAAAAAGTTAAAAACAATCTTAACCCACCACAGAGAGATAATTTATCAGCCATAAAATCCTCGTCCATTTGATTTTTCTGCACATACATATTACAAACAAAATTTCCTTTTCACATAGCTAGGACCAGATAGCTTTTTAAATTTTACTTTTTTACTTAACTGGAGGATAGGATTATCTCCCTTTGTCCTTAGATATTGTTCTGTAAGTTTTAACGTCCTCATAAAAGTTTGCCATGTGAACACACTGATGCTAACCATTCTTCCGTGGGTGGGCGTTTGCCTTCCCCCATGTTTCCACTGTGTAAAAAGCTATAAGGGCAATTTTCAAATATAGCTCTTCATGTGCATCTCTGATAATGTCCTCAGGATAAATACCTAGAAAGAAAACTTCTGGGTCGGAGTACACAATTTTAAGGTTTTGCTACATACTGTCAAATTGTTACCACCTTCCTGGAGAGAAATTTATATTCCCAATAGCAGTGTATAAGAATGTTTATCTCATGTTCCTCCCCACCACTAACTACTGCCTTAAAAAAAAATATTTGCATTGTTACACATTTTTATTTTTGGTTTGATTTGTATTTTTTTGATTACTTGTGAGTCGACGTTTTTTCATATTCCTCAGAGATACTCCCTCTCTGTGAATTTACGTGTATTGCCCATATTTCTATGGAGAGCGTTCATCTTTTAAAAAAATTATTCCTAAGAGTATATTGTGATATTTTTACTAATGCTTTGTTGCTAGTTCAATTCTAGACAAAGTCCTTCCAATCAACAACAGCAGAGGCATTGCTCTTCCTGCAATTTCATGAGCTGAAAAACCAACTTAAAAAATTCAGGCTGAGGCAAATACTGCATCCAGAAAAATTAAGTCGACCCTAACCCCAAACAGGAGGTGGCACCGGGGGATTCCTTAGCCCACAGGAATGGTCTATCAGGAAGTTTTCCCAGAAACAGTAAGGTAATCTTGAACAGTGGTCTTTCTGATTCAAATGCAAAGTCCGTCTCCCACGTAAATCAGGAATTTTTGGGGTTGTGTTTTGATTCCGGCTTTTTCCATGTCCCAGTGGTCCTGGTTCTTGGGGGGTTCCACTGTGAAACTGAACTGGGGGGAGACAGGGATAGACACACCACAATCTGTCTGAGAGGGTTACGTCTTCACACTCCTTTTGTTTCAAGGTACTGGGTGTTGGCAGCCCTCTTAGCGCAAGGATGCTGCTTGGGTTTACTTTCACTTACATCCATATACCTGTTGGTAAGAACAAAGCTGCCTATCACAGAAGCTATACAATTGGTTGTTGACTGACCCTGCAGCTGCAGTTTCTACCCTGGGAGTGGGGTGGGGTGTGCACATTCACACAACTTCATTGACACCATCAGAGACATGCAGAAGAATGCTCTGCCATGAGCAGATTTTCTGCAGTGACAAGAAACATACTTGAGTTTTTCTTTCTCCGTTTCACAACTTTTGTCTACCAGCCACTGGCAGAAGTCACCATTTCTTCAGCTAAGAAATGCTGCTTTCCAAAATCCTTTGGCAGAGTCTCCCAGAGATTTTTTTTCTGCTCCTTCCTAATTTAGAAACAGTCTTCAAAGGGAAAAAACAAAACAAAACAAAACCCAAAAAACAACCTGACAAATCAATCTGAGAAGAAACCAACTCTGATGTAATTTTACATGTCTTTCCCGGAACGTTTCAGAGTTTACCATCTACAACCAATACAATTCGGATGGGATCATTTGGGGGGGAAAAAAAATAAGCAAAGATGTGCATACCCTAAGATCAGACCATTCTTTATTCAAGAAGCAACATGTGATACAAATTCAAGATTTTATTAAAAATTATTTGTGATTTAACATAATATCTCGATGGTTACAGCTTTTAACAAGCTTTTAACAAAGCAAAATAATGAGTTATGTGAATAAACAGAAGAGTGAACGGTGTTAGCTGTGACATTTAAACGATCACATGGTTTTAATTATTCTTTTGATAACACGCAACTTTGTGAACATCTATTCAAGGGACTGAACTCCGTGCCTACTATAGAATTTGCAGTTGAATTAGAGCTTTGTTTCCTGCCTTTGGCAGTTTTAAGCAAACAAATGGAAATGGTTTTAAGAATTTATAAAAATCTACCACCTACCAAAAACATTTAAAAGGTAAAGTGATAAGCTCTAGAAAGAGAAAAAACAACAACACATACACATGTATTTATTTGTGGGATACAGTAACAGAGAACAGAAGTCATAATGAGGGAAGCAACCAGAAGTTCAGCCCATGCCAACCCTTTATTTGTTCTTGGCTGTCAGGGGTTTCCGGCTGATCTTTTTCGATTTGTCATTATTTTTCTTCGGTGGTTCTGGGTTTGCTTGCATGTGTCTGCCGTAGAGGCTGAAAAGAGAGAGGGAGAAATGGTGAGACCCACCTTGCCTACACAGGACCAGCTTTTATTGGGAGGGCTTGAAAGAACAGATTAATCTCCGGGAATGTTCAGGAAGCCAAAGAAAACTAAAAGATCACTTCTACTTGGTCTGGGTCAGACATTTTGTTTAAGATTATAAAATTCTCTTACACTTACACACACACACACACACACACACACACACACACGTGCAGGCGCACGCGCGCATGCACACACACAAAATACACTATGAGGTCAGTTCTGGACAAGTGTCCTGCAATTTCACACTCACTGGACCGAGTGTGAAAACACCCAAGGAAGAGGGATCTGGGGCCGTGAGGATGGAAGATGCTCAGCCCACCTGTTCGAGAATGAAGCTCGAACGGCTGTGAGTGTTGAAGTCGACAATGACTGAAGAGACAGAGTGTCCATCGAGTGAAAAGTGAACATCACGCCTGGCCAGCAGAGCCCAGGGGCTGCATAGTGTGACAGAGAGCAATGGTGTCCAAGCCTGCTTTGGCTCCCCGCCCATGATTTATAGTGCTGGGACGGCAGCCACATATCAATGCCACGTTAATAAGTACCGTTGATTAAATGCTGACAAAGTACCCTACAATTACAGTGGATGGCATTCGTCACAGAGCGTAGCTCGCTTACGGCTGAGAGGATTGAACCCAACACAGCAGATAGTAATTAATTGATAATTTATGAGTAATTCTGATTAAACAAAATTAAAAGCCACCCTCAAATAAATACGGCTCCACCTTAACTGCCCTTATGGATAAAAGTGTGGCCCAGAGAGAGCCCAGTGTGTGTGTCTCCGTTCCTCCAGAGGAAAGGCAACGCGTGATCTGCTTGTGGCAACTGCCTTGTGCCACGTGAATGGGGGAGGACACCGAGACTGACCTCCCGGTGCAAGGTGTCCCTTGTTCTAAAGTCCACTCAAGGAGCTGATACTCTCTTGATGCTTGCACCTTGCCAGGCAGACTGGTGACATGTACTGATGATGCTCTTGAGGACACAGACACCGCGGTTGGCGGGCCAAAGGACGGACCTCGCGCACAGAGTTGGCCAACTGATGGAGTAATTAGGGAAAGTTGATAGGTGACAGTGTGGTCTGTCTTCTCAGAGGTTTCCAAGTGTCTCCCCAGAAGGGCTACGAGCAGGTTCCACCAGCAGTGGCCATGAAGAGAGGTCTCCGCTCCCAAGGAGCTCAGAATGCAGAGTCTGGACCTGGTGGCACTGGCCCACAAGCCGGAGGATGTACATCCAGCCTGGGGCTGGGAATGTCTCCAGGTAAAGCGGGGGACCGTCTCCCCATTTAAGTGGATCTTTAAATCCACCTAAGGCCCCTGCGCCCTACACTTTAAAAAGGGCCACTGATCCCCCTGCAGTCTATGTCATGGACACCCAGGGGCCCTGGATCCCAGGAAAGGAACCACTGGTTTTGACAGGAAATTTCAGCCAGGCCAGCTGTACCGCTCTTGCTGCCCCAACCCCACTGATGTCCCTGTCCCAATCCCGGGAATTTGTGACTGTCCCCTTACACGGCCAAAGGGGCTCTGCAGAGATGATTAAGGATCTTGTAATGGATCTATTATCTGGGGACCCCCCTCCCTCACCCCTGTAGCATCTCTCCCAGAGGCATCAAACAGGTTAAAGAAGTAGCCAAAGTAGACTTCTCCATTACATTCCTCAGCTTTAGCAACACATACCCTGAAACATACATTTTCCTCTAGCAGGCCCGGCCCCTCCCCTCCTCCTAGGACACAGCTTTCTTCACACTCACACAGCAGGGTGGTGTCCCCAGAGGCCTCTGCGCTCCAAGCTCCTCTCGCCCCACACACAGAAAAGGCCTGACTCTGGTCTGTGCATTCCTCGCTTCCTTCCGGCCTCATGTACCTCTCCTCTCTTTCCCAACCCTTACCCCCAGAAGGGAAAAAAATATCCCTGTTCTTCCTCACAGACAGCATTCAATTTTAAGGGTTACATAGCGCATGAGCTGGGAAATCCGGCAGGAGTGACACAAGGAAGGTGTCAGAGGAGGGAAAAGATCTGACAAGGGCCCACGTGTCATGTCCTGAAGGAGTAAGAGCTGAGGTGGGCACGGAGGGCTTCCCGGAAGAGGTGGGGGTTTTGCTGGGCCTGACCGTGGTGATCCAGCAAAATTATCTCAGAAGGGGTTGCAAAAGTTGTTTGGAACTCAGCAAGGCTCCTTTTGTTAGGAAGAAACTAGAATGTTCCAACGTTCCAATGTCTGCCTTTTTTAGTCAGACCCCACTGCGCTTGGCCCTCCTGGGGCTACACAGCAAGTCACTACCTAGGGCCAGATCAGAGAGAGCATTCCCTGAGCTTGATGTTTAAATCCTCCTCTTGCGACTTACTAGCTGTGGACTCTGGGCAAAGGATTGGCACCCCCACAGCCCTCACTCACCATGCCTCAGCTTCTCCATCTGTAAAAAAAATGATGCTGTGTTCAGAGTATGGTGGTATCAGTGTTTAAAATGAGCCCAGTACCTGGTTCGTTTACTGGAAGTGGTCAGTGGATGCTTGCTGAAAAACATGACTGACGTGGGGTTGTAGTTGGAAGGATTTAATAAAGATAATATGATTACTTCTTTAGGGCTTTTTCCTTTGAAAAAAAAAAAATAACGGTATTTTCAATCAACGCCAAATCCCCAAGCATCTCTGGGAGAAAGGTTTTAATCCTCTTTGAAGAAAGCAACTAAGGTAGAGCTAAATGCATGCCCCCACTTCCTCAGTGAGTCACTGGCAACGCGGGGATGCTGCTGTGTCCTCCGCCTCATCTCTGACTCCTCCAGCTGCATGGGCAGACCAGACACATGGAGACATCACTGGGGTAGAGCAGTAATGACAAGCATCTGAGGGTCCGAAGTCTAGGGTTCCACTCCTGGCTCCAGCAGGGATTAGCCATGGGGTTTCCCTTTGGTTAGTCAGTGTGGTGGGCAGAATAATGCCCCCCACCCCCAAAATACTGACATTCTGACCCCTGAAACCTGTGAACATATTCTATCATAAAGGGACTCTATGGAGGTGATTAATTAAGGATCTTGGGCTGGGAAGATTAGCCTGCATTTTCTGGGTGGGCTCAGTATAATCATAAGGGTCTTCTGACCTCCCCGAAGGTCAGAGCCAGAGAGATTTGAACATGTTACACTGCTGACTTTGAAGATGGAGGAAAGGGGCTCCCAGCAAGAAACACAGGCAGCCTCTAGAAACTAGAAAGGCAAAGAAGGGCATTCTCCCTGGGAGCCTCCAGAAGGACGCAACCCTGCGGACACTTTGATTTCAGACTTCTGACCTCTGGAACTGTAAAAGGATCTATCTGCTTTGTTTGCAGGCACCAAGTTTGTGGTACTTTTTTACAACAACAGGGAACTAATGCAGTAAATGGGCCTTTCTGGGCCTGATAGGGCAGCCTAGAAGTGAGGTGTTTGCTTACCTTCAGCAGAAGAAAAACAGGAGACTTTCTGGGGGTAGCAGGTCATTGAAAAGAAGGAAAAGTTAAAAAACTAAGTTTCGAGAAGGGCAAAGGATGCCCCAAAGGAAAAAATGGGTTCTGTTTCTACCAGAAAAAGAGAGAACAGGTAAGCAAAGTGTCTCCTCTCTACTCTGAAGCTAACACCCTGATCCATGTTTTGAATGTACCCAGGATTTCACTTCTAGAGGTGGCTCAGGGAGCCATGGAGAGGCCGACGCCATTGGGTGAAGCTTCCCAAGAGGAGGGGGCATGCCATGGCACACAAAGCCACATGGGGAAGTGCCAGGGTTGGTGAGGAGGCAGAAGGAACAAAGCAGGGAGCAGGACTCCGTCCTTTATGGTGGTTCCACGGGAAGGAATGGGTGGGTTTGAGTGAATTTACGGGTGGACCTCTGGAATAATTTCCAGGTGCTCGGGGCCATCAGGCTGGCCTCCAGCTGTATGGTACTAGGACAGGGGAAATACTGGCTTGCTATGCGGGAGTCGCATGAAGGAGGTGGTCGAGGTGTTAGCTTTGGATTGGTTTGGTTGGTTTACATATCAGAGACGACCTGGCAGACAAGCTGGTTGCTCTCTCTAGGAATTAAGCTCGCCCTGGAAAGGGCAGTCTCTCCCCCAGCCTGCAAGACCTCCGAGATGTCAAAACAGCATAAAAGATAGTGAATAAGACACATGACTAATTCATACAATCACAGTCTCCTGGCCCCACACCCCCACTGCATGACATACTTTGCCCTTGGCCTTAGCTTCTCTGACTCCACGTGCTCCTTCCCCCTCCTCCACCTGGGAAACCACAATCATCCCTGGGACCCTGGCACAAGGCACTACCCAAACCGGCGTATCTCCTTAGCACTCTGCTCAGGTGGCACCTGTCCCGCCCTCCTGGAGCCCACGGCACCCTGCCCTGGGGATCCGCAGACCACAGGCCTGGGGCTTCACTCCCCTCTGCCTTTGTGCACCCTACTCACTCTCAATGACAGGTGACTCTGGGCAAGTGGCTCACCTGCCACAGTCGAAGCCTGTATCTGCAACCTGACGATGAACACTCCTAGCTACCTTGTAGGGCTTGGGCAAAGATTAAACCGGACCCGGGAAAGGTCTTGTCTGTGCAGGGACTCAGCAGATGTTCCAGAACGGCAGCTGACATCTCTCACCTCTCGCAAAGGTCCAAGACTCAGGCTGAGCCGGCCAGTTCCTCCCACCTGACATGTTGCCTGTGAGCACATAACAGAGCCAGGAATGTGACCTTGTCATTATGTGCCTTCAGAGGGAGGAGGCTTCCAGTGGGCACTGAAATCGGGCCACCAGCTTGAGAGCGGCGACAGAGGGAGCCTGGCTCAAGGTCACCAACAGGACAGCAGCCGCTGGCGGACAAAATGTTCAAGCCCTAGAGCGGAGGGACCCGATGCCACAGAGTCTTAGAAAGTCCCCTCTCCCCCTGACGTGTGAGGTGGACAGAGGATAATTGAAAGGTGAGTAAGGAGTGGA